GGTGCAGTTCATGAAGGCTGGAGCATGTGGCCAGGACTCTACTCACGCATCACATCTCATGGAGCAAGGGGATGTACTGGTGCTCACTCGGCTTTCTGCTTTTCGCCCTTTTTTTCCACTCTGGGGCCCTGACTCATGATCTAGTACTATTCTCTCTCAGTCAGGCTCCTGACCCTTTAGTTAACCCTTTCCTAGCAAGCCCTGATAGTCGGATCCAAAGGTGTGCCTCATCAGTGTCCCGGGCGGTCTTGACAATCTACATTAACCACCCGGTTATTTCCTTTCCCCAGGACTAAGGTTTCTCTACCCAACTTGTGTGCTATTATGACTTGAACACAGCCCTCCTTTATTGTCTCACTGTCCATCAGCTTCCTTCCTTGTCCATCTCATGGAAGTGCTAAAATTGTTTTCAGTGATAGACTCTGGTCTTCCCTTGGATAAGGGACACATTCATGCTCTCAGTGTGTCTCTGCTGACTCTAATAAAGTTTGTAACACATGGTGCCATATAAATGTTGAATTACTGATCAGATTAAAAGTTAGTAGAAGTCAATCCATTTGCAAAATTCCACAAGAGCCTTTGGCAGCTCTAGAAAAAAAAAAAACCCCTACCGGGTGGGACGGTGGGGGGGGGGGGAGACTCAGAAAATTACACATATCTACACTTGGAGTGGATTTTTTTTTGAAGTATGAAGTGAAGGTTTATATATGTTATACGATTTAAAAATACTTCAAAACAAGAACTTGATGCCAGAAATAGCCCAGGGAATGAGGGCAGCCTGCCATCGGCACGCCGCCTCAACCTGTTACGTATATACACCGAAGGAGAATCCAGGGCCTTCACATCTTTCCCCTCAGATAAAATGCGTAAGACGGGGAAAATGTGTCAGCCACAGTTAGAACTGACCTGCACAGGTCTTTTCCTGTGGCAGGGCCGAGGAATGATTAGCTCACACGTGAGGCCCAAGTCGTTTTCTCAGTCTGCCCACTCCAGACACCATCAATGCTTCCCTTACACGTGGATTGGGTGAGGAGAAATTGGAATACATTAAAAGGGCATGTATGAGCGTTTTCTCTTAGCTGTATGACGTGTTTGCTTTAAGTAAAAAACAAGCAGAGTCAGCTGTGACTGTTCTGTATGAATTCTTCACTGGAGAGTAGCCAATGGTACCCAGAGTTTGCCTGTGTTTTTGCTGTTGCTGTGATGTTTCTCTGACCTCCTCTGTAGCAGTAGACCTCTCCAGGAAGGATGGCAGACTTATACAGACCTTTAGCCCCACAAGCACTGACAAAGAAGCTAGCATTGACCAAGTTTCGTGTCCTGTAGCGTGGACCGTTTTACCTCACAGTAAGTTGTGGGTAAGAGTAATAGGCCCAACATTTCACAAGAAAACAACTTCAGCCTGTAGCCAACCCCTGTGGCTCCGAGTTGACGGCGTTTTTCCCTTTCAAAGAGAAGCTGCTGCTTCAGCATCATCTCCCGGAGCCCTTGGCAAGATTTCAGGCCATGTGTCAGGGGATCCCTTGCGCACATAACTATGACGGAAGCCAAGTGCTGTCCCACAAGTATTGAGGACTGCTTATACTCAGGAGAGTTAAAGCAGACGCATGGTATCGCACGGCTCAGGGGTACCTTGAAGAACACAAACGCGCATGTTATTCCTCAGCTGTGACACGGCCCTTTCCCGGTCTATGTGGAGTTTGGCCAGTAGTATTTGGTGAAGTGTTTTCTTTTCGTTAGCTCCTCAAGTTCAGCAAGATTCGGACAGTCAAATAGAAGAGTTTTCATATATTTTTAAGCAGGGCCGCAGCATATATGACCCCCTAGGGGGCCTTTCATTAATGAATGCAGTATGTGTTCTTGGTAAAGGCCAACATAAAACTGGCTCACTGTTTTTGTCCAACTAGCTGCAGATGACATTTAGGTGTGTTGTTTGGTGTGGTGACTCAATTTCCTGTAGGACAGCTAGCAACTCTACATTGCGTCTCCCCCCCCAAAGGAGGGAGTGGGCTGTAAAGGTCAGTTACTCGATGTCTTAGTGCAGTTGGGGTTAAAATTCCTGAAAGTGAGGACTTGATAGTGACCCTGGAAAACTGGAGGTAGCCATGTTGCCTCTGTCTAGGAGAAAGAAAGTCTCAGCTCAGCAGGTCTTTCTTCCAGCAATGACTTTAGAAAAGAAATTTGTTTGCCCTATTATATTGTAGTGTACCAACAGGTATACATGTTTCAGGGCAATTTCATTCTCTAAATAGATAGAGAGCAGGTGGAAGGCTTTGGAACTTATGTACGTGATCTTGCTTGATTTCTTATAGTCGCAATGGCCTAGCCATGATTTGAATATGAGACCGATCTTCTGGAAACAATTACTCCCCAGGTCTCCTCTCTACCACCCTCCTCCCAGGCAAACCCTGGGTCGAAGTGCAGGACGTCTTGAAGCATTAACTTGAGACTTCCCCCAATTACTGTTCCACATTAAAAAAAATATAATACATAGAGCTATAAATGCTAGAACCAAGGTCTGGTTCTACTTCTGATCTCAGGAAACGTTCATGAAGATAGGAAAGGTGCCATCAAGGAAAGCATGCCATACCCTGGGAGGTCCCAGGCTTTCCGAGAGTTGGGTGGCAGGAAGCAGGGACATAGAACACCAAGCTTTAGAGCTGTGTAGAGGATGGCTGGCTCTGGATACCAGAACATATGGCAGCGTTGGATTCTACACAACAGCTATGCCTCTGAATGCATTGGGTGTACTAACTATGGACAGCTCACGTGACCACAAATTATTTTCCTCCTCCAATTCTCTGTATTGCTGCTTTACAGAGCAGAGGAAAGAAGAGAGTAACAGTGAAACTAAGTAGTAAATGAACTGTCGTGGTGTCCAGACAGTGCTCTACTTACCTATGGAATGGATTCAGTGTATTCAAGTGCTGACTTATTGTTTCAGATCTTTAGGTTATGGGCCAACAAAGGATTTTCTATGTTTTGGATCTTTTGTTTATAACAGGCATGCAACATTTTACAGTTTTACAATCAGAGGAACACTCAATACTCACCTAGTAAATTATCTTTGATCATTTTCTTTGTTAAAGAAAAAAAGTATCATCAGTCTTGAATTTCAATTCACCTGGCAAGGTTTAGGCAGTTGTTGACCTAAGGTTTATTTTCAGGGATTAATGATGGGAACACACACACACACACACACACACACACACACACACACACACACACAGAGAGAGAGAGAGAGAGAGAGAGAGAGAGAGAGAGAGAGAGAGAGAGAGAGATCTTAATGCATAGCACTCAAAACGACGAGCATACAGCTCAAAAATCTTGGATAAGGAAAACCAAGTAGCAAGCTTACCACTGTCTGGAAGTTATTGAAACTTTTACATTTAAGGGAAATCCCAGATTTGAGACTCAACCCACGGAATTGTTTGCCATCTCTAATAATTACTGGAGTCTACACTGGGACAGAATTCCTTTACCCCACAATACTGTCAATTGGAAGATAAAAAGGAGGACCCCGTACTTTCTGCTGACAGTTTTGTAGGAGAGACCCCTTGGGGTTTCGACTTTGCTCATTCTGAAATAATATTCGTGGTCCGTTTTGGAACTGATCACTTTAGGGAAAGTGCCCAAGGTACCCGGGGTCAGCTTTGATCAACGGAACCCATTTCCCCACGATGCTTCTGATGTTTATTCGTCTACAGTGGGCAGAAACAGACTTCTAAACTTTCTGTCCTGGACCCAAGTCCAGGGTGTTCTTGTGCGTTCTGCAGAGGAGACACCCAGGCAAGGCCGTGTGTAAATTTCACCCTGTGGTTCCTTTACTTTGCTGTTCCTTAAGGTGACCCCTCGATGATTCGGAAACATGAAATGTAGTTTGTTGTCAAACTCGAAGGCATTCTGACCCCACATCGTTGTGGTTTGTCTGTTTACATCCCCACTAAAATATAGAGGAGCCTCGACTGGGTATTGGCAGTCTGCCCTTAAGAGAAATTATTTTATTCCCTTAATCCTGCCCCTTCAAGTAAGTAAATCCTAAACCCAGGGAAACACCTAAACTACATCCTGCAGGAAGGGTAGTGATTGTCCTAAGTCACCTTGCTTTCGCCCCGGACGCCCAGGCCTGGCAGGCTGCGCTGGGACAGAGGGCCCAGGGACTCCTCCGTACACCGACCCGGGGTCCCCGCGGGGCAGGTGCGCGCTCGCTTGGCCGCACGCGCCTGCGCGCTGGGGGCCGGCT